GCTTTGAACCGTGATCCTCAGATCTCAGCCTTCTGAGTAGCAAGGATTACAGGCATGAGCCACCGGTGCCTGACACTTTTCCTGTTTTGTGTGATACTGAGGAATCAAGCTCAGAGCTTCATGCATGCTAGGCAAGCACTTCACCACTATGCCACCTTCCCAGCCCAGTAAGAATTTTTTTTTTTGGGGGGGGGGTCCTGTTGTGGGGCCTGAACTCTGGGCCTGGGTGCTGTCCCTCAGCTCTTCAGCTCAAGGCTAGCACTCTACCACTTGAGCCACAGCACCACTTCTGGCTTTTTTTTTTTCTGCTTATGTGGTGCTGAGGAATTGAACTCAGGGCCTCATGCATACAAGGCAAGCGCTCTACCACTGAGCCACCTTCCCAGCCTAGTAAGAATTTTTTTTTAAAAAAAGCTTAGAAATTATTTTGAGACCTGAAGACCAAGTGTCATTGGCTCCAAAATAACCAGCAAAAAAAAAACAGGGCTTGAGGTGTGGCTGGTGGTAGAATGCCAGCCAAGCAAGTATGAGGCCCTGAGTTCCAACCCTATTACTGGCAAAAAAAAAAGTATTGGCTCTGAAACACTTAAACTGCAAAGCTGAAATTAATGTTTTGTGTGTTCAAAAGTATTGGAATATTAACTTGCTAGTTATAAAAAATTCATTGCTTTTGGAACTTGTGAGCAGGGACAGAAGAGAAACTAGGGGAAAGTAAACGAAAGGGGGACATTGTCCAAGAATTGTACTCGGTGTTTGACTTACGGAATTGTAACCTGTCTGTACAACACCTTAATAACAACAATAAAATTATATTTTAAAAATTCATTATATTTGAAAACAGTTTTGTAGGTTGGGTTTTTCTTTGAAAGTGTTTGCAAGTATTCCTAGAGACCAGTGAGCTCTAAGTTAGATCCTGAGAACCAAGTCATACCCAAAGCAAATTTCCTTCAAAAGTAAGTAGAATGGGCTAAGAAGGTGGCTCAGTGGTAGAGTGTTTGCCTTGCATGCATGAGGCCCTGGGTTCGATTCCTCAGCACCACATAAGCCATAAAAGCCAGAAGTGGTGCTGTGGCTCAAGTGGTAGAGCGCAAGCCTTGAGCTGAAGAGCTGAGGGACAGCGCCCAGGCCCAGAGTTCAGGCCCCACAACCAACAAACAAAAAAGAGTAGATGGCTAGGTTGGTGAGACACACATGTAATCCTGGCCCTTGGGAGGCTGAGGCAGGAAGATCTTGAGTTCAAGGCCAGCCTGAGCTATATAGTGAGACCGTGCTCAGAGAAGAGGGTGGAGATCTGGCTCACATGGTAAAGTGCCAGCCAAACAAGAGCATGAGGCCCCAAGTTCAAGACCTTCAAAGAGAGAGAGAGAGACAGTGAGAGAGAGAGACTCTAGAGAGAATCTTATTTCCACAGGTTGCTCTGTGCAGGCTTCATCTAGCCCTGAAGATGATTGTGCTACTACATTCTGAAGGACAGTCTGGGTACAGAACAGCCATGAGCTACTTGAACTCAGTTTGGAGATGGCTTATTCTCAATTGTGCATAGAGAGGTAAAGACAGTTCTGAGTGATGGCAACATGGCCTGAGACAGCCTCAGAACAACCCAGAAACTTGCAATGTGTTGTCTGCAGTAGCTGGAGAATCAAATGGGTATGGATTTCAGTATTCACGACAATCACACAGCTTTGATAGAAGAGCTGACAGCGGGACACAGGGCAGTCAGGAGTGACTTGCGCAAAACGAACTGTAGTCTGATTCCTTCTACCCACCCAGCAGTACTGGGGGTGGGTCAGGGCCTCTATTTTCCTAGCAAGTACTCTGCCTCCTGAGCTATACTTCCCAGTCTGAACTTTGAGGGGGGAAATGCTATGTAATACAAAAACTAAGAGAAGCAGCATTGGCCAGTTCTCAAACAATGCATGAAATGGGCTGGGAACGTGCTCAGTGGTAGAGTGCTTGCCTAGCATCTAGGAAGCCCAGGTGTGATTCCTCAGTACCACATAAATAGAAAAATCCAGAAGTGGTGCTGAGGCCCAAGTGGTAGAGTGCTAGCCTTGAACAGAAGCAGCTCAGGGACAGTGCCAAAGCCCTGAGTTCAAACCCCAGGGCTTGGGGGGGAGGGTACAAAGTGACACTAGATGCCTGTGTACCTTCCATCACCTGCCTTTACACTAAAACACCCATTTTTGGGGCACTAGTGGCTCATGCCTGTAATCCTAGCCAATCAGGAGGCTGAGATCTTGAGGACTACGGTTCAAAGCCAACCAAGATAGGAAAGTTTGTGACTTTGGTTCTTTTGTTTTTGTTTTGCCAGTCCTGGGACTTGAACTTAGGGTCTGGGCATTGTCCCTTTGCTCAAGGCTAGCACTCTACCACTTGAGCCCCAGTACCACTTTCAGCCTTTTCTGTTTATGTGGTACTGAGGAATCGAACTCAGGGCTTCAAGCATGCAGCGCAAGCTCTCTATCAAATAAGCCACATTCCCAAAAGGCCAGAAGTGGAGGTGTGCCTTCAGGGATATAGTGCAGGCTTGAATGAAAAAGACAAATGAGAGTACCCAGGCCCTGAGTTCAAGCCCCAGTACCGACACAAAAAAGAACGAGTCCTCAAAGACCACACCTCACTTCCCATCCATGATCCCTCATTTGCTTGTTGGTTACAGGGCTTGAACATGGGGCCTGGGTGCTATCCCTGAACTCCCTTGCTCAAGGCTAACACTCTGCTACTTTGAGCCACAGCTCCACTTCCAGTTTTCTGATGGTTAATTGGAGATGAGTTTCACAGACTTTGCTGCCTGGGCTGGCTTTGAACTGTGATCCTCAGATCTCAGCCTCCTCAGTAGCTAAGATTATAGTTGTGAGCTACCAGTGTCCAGCTCATGATCCCATAAGCATTTCAAGTAGCAACTGTTGAGAACAAATCTTTTTTTTCTTTCTTGTGTGCCAGTACTTTGACTTGAACTCAGGGCCAGGATGCTTTCACTTGGCTTTTTCACTCAAGGATGCCATCCTAGCATTTGAGCCACAGATCCACTTCTGGCTTTTTGGTGGTTAACTGGAGATTAACCATCTCATATTTTCCTGTCTGGGCTTGCTTCAAACCACAGTCCTCAAATCTCAGCATCCTGAGTAGCTAGGATTACAGGCGTGTCACTGGTGCCCAGCTTAATGAATGTATCCTTAGTTTGGGATGTGGATATATCCTTATGTTTTCTATGATGTGCTGGAAGTCCACATATCAAGTAACTAGAAACCTCAACTCCTTTTAAAAGGAAGAAAAGCTTTCAGTTGGCAAGACTCTGGAGCTAGAGTTCCTGTGGTAGATTCATCCAGTACTTCAAAGAAATCACCTAAGATCTGTGTCCTGCCTGGCGCCAGTGGCTCACGCCTGTAATCCTAGCTACTGGAGAGGCTGAGATCAGGGGACTGATTCCAGACCAGCCTAGGGTATGCTCCAGGCCCCTTCTCAGCCAGCAGGTGGGTCTGGTGACACACACCTGTCACCTAGCTATAGGAAGCATAAAATAGGCTGGCCCAGGCAAAAAACAAGATCCTATGTCAAGAACGGCCAGGACAGTGAGGCAGTGATACCTCATGCCTGTAACCCCCTTCAGGAAGCTCAGGTCTGAGGGTCTCAGTTCAAAGCCAGCACAGGCAAAAAGTCCATGAGACTCTTACCTCCAACTAGCCACCAAAAAGCTGGAAACAGACCCATGGTTTAAGTAGTAGAATACCAGCCCTGAGCGAAGAGGTGAAGGGAAGAGTATAAGGCAGAGTTCAGGGGACACACACACACATATGGTAAGTTCTCAATGGACAGTGGGCAGGAGTGTCCCACATCTCCAGCACAGGTCAGTGACTCACACCACCACTGTTGGGACCAGCACTGCCGGCCGACCCTTTGGGCATTTGACTCAAGCCACTCCAGTGAGAATCTGCCCTGGGGAGCTGGGGGGCCCAGCACGAAGCCCTGAGAAGTGCTAGGCCACTTGCTAGGCCTCTGCAGGTGGCACGGAGTCTGTCACAGGCAGGCACTTCTCTCTAGCTTCACGAGGGAGTTAGGGCTGCTAGGATCTCCGATCCCCTGTGGACGGGCTAGACAAGGCCTCTGGGACTCTGAAGCAGGAAGGAGCCTGAAATGCAAGCAGGCCCTTTGCAATCATTGCCTAGAGTGCACTGCGCACAGCCTCTGCCCTCAGGCTGGCAGGCCTCTCCTCTGGGATGCCTCAGAGATGACACAGTGGCCTACACATGTTTAGCACCAGGAAGCTGACCAGCAGCTCCTTGGGTGTGGCCACTGCATCTGATCCCACAGGTAGAACCCTAGCCTACATTCTCCTGTCCCAGTTTCCAGTGGGAGCCACAGCCTCCTGGAGTTGGCTCAATGTCAGTTACTGACCAGCTGTGTATTCTGGGTAAATGTGCGTAGCCATTGTTTCTTTGATTTTTTTTGGGTCCGGTCGTGGGGCCTGAACTCTGGGCCTGGGCGCTGTCCCTCAGCTCTTCAGCTCAAGGCTAGTGCTCTACCACTTGAGCCACAGCGCCACTTCCGGCTTTTTCTGCTCATGTGGTGCTGAGGAATGGAACCCAGGGCCTCAGGCATGCTAGGTAAGCGCTCTGCCCTATAGCCATTGTTTCTTATAGTGCTGGGCCAGCTCTCAACGGCTGAGCTAGTCCCAATCCTTCATGTCCCTCCTGACCCGACTGCTGGCTCACTGGTTTTTGCTTTTATGCTTGAACTCAGGGCTTGGGCTGGTTTTGAACTGTGAGCCTGATTTCAGCTTCTTGGAGTAGCTAGGCTTGCAGGCATGAACCCCTGGCGCCGGCCTCACTAGTGTTCGATGGACTGAAACAGATTGGCAGATGAGGGCTCAGCGGTGCGTTAAGAGCAGCTCGGTCAGCTCTGTGCCCTTGAAGTCCAGAAATGAGATGGCTCGGGCAGCGGGTGGTGAAGGCAGCACTGGGGACAGCAGTCTCCCCTGGGGCCACGGACTGGAGCAGACAGACACTCCCAGGGGCACTTTATTAAGGACTGGTTACAACGGGGAGAGGGAGTGGGAGGGCCCAGCCCCCACCTACTGGCACATAATAAATAAATAAATAGCTGGACATGGGCTTGGGGAAGGTGGCACAACACTGACACGGGGGCCGGGGGGGGGGGCGGGCAGACCCCCTGCTCAATTGTGGCCATTGTCAACACTGGACAGGGGCCGTAGAGGGATGGAGCTCTCCACAGCAGCCCCGAGGTCCCCAAGCTTTGTAGAGGAGTGTCTTCATACTCAGCCCCATATTTATTTACTGAAAATCTGGACTTTCTGTCCAGCCAATTGCAGACTGCCAAGGAGCCACTGTCTCCCCGACTTCCACACTGTTCTACCGGGGGTCTAAGAGACCAGTGGGTGGTTACTCGGTGTCCCCAGGTCCTAGGACATGCAAGGATGGCCATAGCTTGGCTTCTGATGGGTGCACTGGGGCTCGAGGACAGGCGGGGGTCACTGCTCCTCTTGGGACTGATGGCAGGGACTCACTGTCTGTCACTCATCCTCCTTTGGTTTCCTAAGACAATGGGCTGTGGCTACCCAGACCTCCGACTGGCCAGCCGGAGCTGGAGGGCCCCCTGGTGGTGGCAGGGCTCCCGGGGGACCTAGAGACAGGGAGGAAATCAAGTGTTCAGGGTCAGGGAACCTTCGGTGGGCACCAGGGCCCATTTTTCGCAAAGGGCAGTGGACAGGGCAGGAAATAAGGCCACCTGGTTGGGTCAGGCCAGGGGAGCCTTGGAACAGCAGGGCCCAGCCACTGTCAGGGCAAACCGCCCCTGGGTCCCAACCCCACCAAGGTGAAGAGACAGGCCAGGGCACCCACGGCACAGAACGTGGTTCACAAGGCATGAGCCCCGCGTCTGTCCAGGGGGCTCAGGGCGCGGGAGGGAGGGCGACAGGTCAGTGGGCTCAGTCCCCCAGCCCGTCCATCAAGTCCGCGATGCTCTCCACGTAGTAATGGGGCACCAGGTCGTGCCGGCCAGCCGCTAGGTAGGCCTGGGCCTCCTCCAGGCGTGAGACGCCTGTGAGTGTGAGCACGGTGGTCATGCCGCAGCGGTGGCCGAAGAGGATGTCGGTCTCCAGGCGATCCCCCACCATGAGCGTGCGGGCGGGGTCCATAGGGACGTGCTCCGTGATGCACTCGAACATGTAGGGGCTGGGCTTGCCCACTATCAGGGCCTGGCGGCCTGAGGCTGTCTCCACAGCAGCGGCCAGGCTCCCTGTGCCTGCAGGACAGGAGATCAGGTCAGTGCTCACAGGCCGGGTTCCAGCCATTACACCACAGTCCTTGGGACAGACTAGTTGTAGCTTGCTGCCTTAGTTTCCCCATCACTAATGAGCAGATGGATGGCACCTGCCACCTGTGGGTGCTGTGGGCGTACAGCAGCATGCGCACAAGCCTGCTTCGGTCCGCTGTTTCATCCTGGCAGCTGTGTGCCTTTGGGCAAGCTGCTTAGCCTCTCTCACTTCCATGGGGACCCATACCACTGCCCAACAGGGATCTGAGCAGACCTGCCCCCACACGTGCTGTGGGCACCACATAGGCAAGTGCTTGGCCAGAAGTGGCGCTCACTGCTCCCAGAAACCATCTGTGCTCCAGGCACAGGAAACTAGCCTGGTCCCCCACGAACGCACCAGGGCACAGCATACCGCACCCCTAACTCAGTGAGCCTCTGGAGGGCAAGCCTCCAGAGGGAGAGTGGTAGCCAGAGAGAATTCCAGCTGGAGCCAGGCTCCACGCAGTCCCTCCCAATCCATGGGGCCTAACAACAAACAGGAGGCCTGTTCAGCCCTGACACCCATCCCAGCACCTCCCGCGGGCACAGTGAGGCCGCCGTGCCTGCCTCAGCCAGAACATTCTGTGTCCCTGGCCAGATGACAATGGGCTGCTGGGTAGGCCCCCGACCGGTGGGGAGGGCGCAGCTCAGGCTTGTTAACTGGTCCAGGTCATACAGCCTCCTGAGGGGCAGCAGGACTTGCATTTTTAGGAATTTTGTGAGCTGGCTATGGAAGGAAGATACTATTAAAAAAGTCTCATGGGGAGCTGGGAAGGTGGCTCAGTGGTAGAGTGCTTGCATGCATGAGGCCCTGGGTTCGATTCCTCAGCACCACATAAGCAAAAAGAAAAAAAGCTGGAAGTGGCGCTGTGGCTCAAGTGATAGAGCGCTAGCCTTGAGCTGAAGAGCTGAGGGACAGAGCCCAGGCCCAGAGTTCAGGCCCCACGACTGGACCCAAAATAAAAAAGTCTTATGGGAGTAATGAAACATGTCTATAATTCCAGCAACTCAGAAGGCAAAGACAGGGGGGTTAGGAGTTCAAGGCTAGCCTAGGGTGGCAAAGTTAGTGGGACCCTGTCTGAGTTGGATATGGTGGCTTGTACCTACAGTTCCAGCTACTCAAGAGGTGGTGATTGGGAGGCCTGCGCTTTGAAGCCAGCCAAGGCAAAAGTTCACCAGACCCCATCTCAACCAATAAAAGCTGGGCATAGGGCTGGGAATGTGGCTGAGTGGTAGAGTGCTTGCCTATCAGGATGAAGCCCTGGGTTCAATTTCTTAGTATCACATAAACAAAAAAGGCCAGAAGTGGCACTGTGGGCCAAGTGGTAGAGTGCTAGCCACGAACAAACTCTCAGGGACAGTGCCCAGGCCCTGAATTCAAGCCCCAGGACTAGGAAAAAAAAAAAAAAAAAAAACTGGGCTTAGTAGTGTGTGCCTCTCAGCTATGGAGGAAGCATAAATAGGCAGATCACAGTTCAGGCTGGCCCGGACAGAAAGCAAAGCCCTATGCGAAAAATAACGAAAGCAAAAAGGAGTTGAAGACATGGCAAAGTGATGAGTGCTATCCTAACAACTGTGAGGCCAGGCCCTGAGTTCAAATCCCAGCACTGTCAAAAAACAAGCAAAAGGGCCAGGGGTGCAGTGTGACTTGACGCCTCCCAACATGCCCAGGCCTGGGGCTCAACACACAGCCGTCAACCCCAAACTCAAGGAAACCAAGTGCTGACAGCAGAGAGTCCCCCCTCCTCACGGTCGCCCACATTTCACTGTTACCTGTATGGTGCGCTACTAATAGGGAAGTCTTGCGTGAAGGTGTCTACTGCACATTGCTCCCCAGCTCTAAGATGGGGATCTCACACTGGCAGCTCCAAACCAGCCATTATGCCAGGAACCAGCCAATGGCATAAGGAAAGGCTCGCCTGGCCTGATGGTTAGGCCTCCCGTCCTCCTTGCAGCTGCCCCCATTCTACTTAGTTAAGCAAAGGGGGGAGGAGCTATGCAACACCTTGGCCCGAGGTCCCCAGACAAGTCATTCCCCAGTTTCACAGGATCAGGGCAGAACCTGAGCTGCTAAGCTAGCCTGGGGCAACACTCTTGGAAGGTTCCTCCCTAATATCTGCCCTAGAACATGCCCACATTAGTTTGTCTGAAAAGTTAAGGATGGAGTTCAGGGCCTAGTGCATGCTAATAAGTACATGGTCTACTGCTAACCCATTCCCCCAGCCCACCGGTTTTCTTTTCTTTTTTCTTTTTGCTGGTCCTGGGGCTTGAACTCTGAGTCTGGGTGCTGTGCCTGAGATTTTATGCTCAAGGCTTCAAACAAGCTCTACCACTTCCAGCTTTTTGTGGTTAGCTGGAGAAAGAGTATCAGGGACTTTTCTGTCTGAGCTGTCGGCCTTCTGAGTAGTTAGGATTACAGGTGTGAGCCACCAGCATCCACCGCTAGTTTTCTTTTTCTTTTTTTTTGGGGGGGGGGGGGGGGCATCAGGTCGTGGGGCCTGAACTTGGTCTGGGCGCTGTCTCTCAGCTCTTCAGCTCAAGGCTAGCGCTCTACCACTTGAGCCACAGTGCCACTTCCAGCTTTTTTTCTTTTTGCTTATGTGGTGCTGAGGAATCGAACCCAGGGCCTCATGCATGCAAGATAAGAGCTCTACCACTGAGCCACCTTCCCAGCCCCCACCACTAGTTTTCTTAAGAACTGAACAGGAGCTGGGCACTGGTGGCTCATGCCTGTAATCCTAGCTACTCAGGAGGCTGAGATCTGAGGATCACGGCTCAAAGCCAGCCCAGGCAGGAAAGTCCACATGAGGCTTCTATCTCCAATAAACCACCAGAAAACTGGAAGTGGCGCTGTAGCTCAAGTGGTAGAGTGCTTGCCTTGAGCTGAAGAGCTGAGGGCCAGCGTCCAAGCCCAGAGTTCAAGCCCCACAACTAACCAAAAAAAAAAAAAGAACTGAATAGGGTTGTAATCCTAGCTACTCAGGAGGCTGAGATGTGAGGATCAAAGTTCAAATACAGCTCAGGCAGAGAAGTCTGGGAGACTCATATCCAGTTAACCACCAAAAAGCTGGACGTGAACCTGTGGCTCAAGTGGTAGAATGCTAACAGAAAAAGCTCAGGGATAGCTCTCAGGCCCTGCGTTCAATCCCAGGACCAGCACAAAAACAAAAACAAACAAAAAACTGGGTAGAAAGGGAAGAAGAGCAACTTGTCTCGGTGCTCAAAGTTACTCCAGGATGAGAAGGATCACACTGCGTCACCCTGAAGTATTTTTCCTTAACTCAGTAACAGTTCCAGCTATGAGTCCCTTCCATTCCCACCAAGACAGTGATGCCTGCGTCCCACCTTCATCACTGGCCTAGGCCTTACCCAGGCCGTACTGTAAGTCAGACACTGAAGACAGTTGTACAGCGATGAGCCCTACCCTGGGGTGGGGTGGACAGCAGGGAGCAGTGCTATGACCATGACCGGCTCTCTGCCTTCTGGGACCTCATTAACTCACATTCAGCCAACCAAGGCTGTTGCATGCCTTGTACTGACATGTTTCTGAGACAGTGGGCATTTCTGTTTGTAGCACAAGGTAGTAACAAGGTAAGCACACCAGAAGGCCCATGGGGAGAGGGGTGTGTGGCAACGTCATCATTTAAGATTTCTGTGTATGGGCTGGGAAGGTGGCTCAGTGGTAAGAGTGCTTGCCTTGCATGCCTGAGGCCCTGGGTTCGATTCCCCAGCACCACATAAGAAAAAAGAAAAAAGCCGGAAGTGGCGCTATGGCTCAAGTGGTAGAGAGCTGGCATTGAGCTGAAGAGCTGAGGGACAGCGCCCAGGCCTAGAGTTCAGGCCCCACAACCGGACCCAAAAAAAAAAAAAAGATTTCTGTGTACAATAGGGCCTTTGTTAATACTGTGTGCATGTGTTAGTGCTGGGGCATGAACTCAGGGCCTTTTGTCCCTGCTCAGCTTTTTTGTTCAAGGTTGGTACTCTACCACTTAAGCCACAGATCTACTTCCGACTTTTTGCTGGCTAATTAGAAATAACAATCTCCTGTATTTGTCTGTCCAGGATGGCTTTAAACCAAGATCCTCAGATCTCAGCCTCCTGAGTAACTGGGATTATAGACATGAACCACCCACCATACCTGGCATGGGTTAGTATTTCTGTACCACCTTTTCAAAGCTCTATCAGTTGTACCCAAGGACCACAGAAGTGGATTTTTTTTTTTTTGGGGGGGGGGGGGTCCAGTCGTGGGGCCTGAACTCTGGGCCTGGGCGCTGTCCCTCAGCTCTTCAGCTCAAGGCTAGCGCTCTACCACTTGAGCTACAGCGCCACTTCCGGCTTTTTTCTTTTTGCAGATGTGGCGTTGAGGAATCGAACCCGGGCCTCATGCGTGCAAGGCAAGCGCTCTACCACGGAGCCACCTTCCCAGCCCCCACAGAAGTGGATTTAAGCCTCTGTTTCCCCAGAGAGGCAGAGCTCATCACAAAGGGGGAGGAGGGATGTGGGTAAGGTCTAGCCTTACTCCAGTGAGGGCAGCAGGACAAGACAAAGGCCCTCTCCTTAGATCTAAGGGAAACAGGTTCACGTTGTCAAGTTGCAAGTAAGTCCCAGGACAGATCAGAACTACAGTCCTTCCCTCATCCCATCCTAACACTGATCTATCAGCTCACTGTCATGGTGGAGTGCCACCTCCTCCAGGAAGCCTTCCCAGATCCAAATCCCACCATATACACATCTACTTCACCCCACTCACCAACCATCCTGGGCTCCCAGGACTTTGGATCAACAATGGTCTGCAAAGGGCCAGCATAGGAGTGACACAGACAGGGGGCATCAGGCTCTGCTGCCTCCAGTTCTAACTCACAGAGGGGCAGCTGAACACCCGAGGTTACAGCATCGAACAGTGTCTGGGAGGAGGAGACTCCAGTCCAGTTCCCCTGCTCTATCACTAGCTGGCTGAGCTCACATTCCCTCTCTTAGCCTGCCTGCCTTTCTTTCGTTCTTTTTTTAAACTGGTTCTTGGGCGTGAACTCAAGGCCTGGGTGCTGTCCCTTGGTTTTTTTACTTGAGCCATAGCTCCACTTCTGGCTTTTTGCTGGTTAGACAGAAAGAGGCTCTCAGACTTTCCTGCCCCAGGCTGGCTTTGCACGGCGATCCTCAGAACTCAGCTTTCTGAGTAACCAAGTGCACAGGCTCAGTCTCAGTTTAACTGAGAAATGGGATATTTCCATCTCTGATTTGGACAAACAGACATGGAGGTGATACCCAGAACTGGCTACAACTCACAGGCGTGTGAGCCCCTCCCACCTATCACAGACCTGGCTGGACGCTGGCTTGGTGGGTACCCTGCACCCAGACGGATGCTTGGAGGTTATGTAACCCAGTACATGGATCACACAGCCGGCTGGACCTCGGGGCCAAACTCCACCTGCCTCCATCCGGCTGCCTCCGATGCTGTCCCAGCCCTCCCCAACCTCCCTCCCCAGGACCACCCTCCTAGGCTCTTCTCCCTCCCACCTATCCCCTGGGGGCAAAATGACAGGAGGCCAGTCCCTAAATGTCCACAGACAGGGATCCGTCTCTCAACTCTCTCAAGTCACCACAGGCCCCAAGTTTGCTCATCGGTCAAAAGGGGGACCCCACCCACCGCCGCCCCCACGCACAGGTGGCCCCTGCGGGCCCTGCAGGGACACGGAGGCTCCCTAGCATCCCCGATCCCCGGCCCTAGGCCTGGAGGCGCCGGGGCAGGACGCCCCTCCGCCGCGGGCTCCCCGCTCACCCGGGGTCCGGCTGCCGTCGCTGAGCGGGTGCCAAGGGTCGCGGTCGGTGGCCACGAGCAGGCAGTCGGGGTCGCGCAGGTGCGCACACGCCTCGCTCAGCTTGGAGAAGGAGAAGTGCTCGTCGTAGCCCACGAGCACGGCGCGCACGCGCGAAGGGGCGTCCGGGGGGTCGCCGGGGTCGCCCGCCAGGCGCAGCCCCGCGGCGCGCAGCTCGGCGCGCAGCCCCTCGCCGCCCAGCACGAACACGGCGCCCGGCGCGCCCGGCGGCCCCGGCAGGCGCTGGCGCAGCAGGCGCGCGGCGCACACGGCCGAGCTGAAGAGCTGCTCGGCGCGCGGCGCCCCGAAGCCCAGGCGCGCGAAGCGGAGGGCCAAGTCGGGCCGCGCGCGCCGGCTGTTGTTGCTCACGAACAGCGTCGCCTTGCCGGCCCGGGCCAGCCGCTCCAGCAGCTGCGGGGCACCGGGCACGGCGCGCTCGCCGTTCCACAACACCCCGTCGCAGTCGAACAGGACGCCCTGCGTCCGGCCCAGCACGTCGCGCAGGCCCGCGCCGTGAAGCTGCTCGCAGCGCGCCATGCAGCCGGCTGGCCGCTCGCACGACCGCGCCGTTCTCCCTCCGCGGGCACGGCGTGCTCGGGCCAATTCGCGTAGAGCCAATCGGCGCACGAGAAGGGCTGGAGGGCAGGGCCACAGCTTGCCTCGCGGCCAATGGGAGAGAGAGTTTCGGAGAGGCCTGGGGCCGCTAGCAAACGGATCTGGGAAAAAAGGGCGGGATCTCCGCAGCCACTGAAGACCAACAAAGAACTCGTTTGGCCGCTATCCCCGCCCTCTTTCTCTGTTAAACCAATCGCCGCCAAGTTCCAACTTCAACTGTTCTCTTATAGGGTAGGAGTCCTGGAGACTGACGCTCTTTTTAACTAATAAAGAGCAAGGAAGAGGAAAGGCGGCTCCGCAGCCAATCAGAAGCTTAAGAGAGCTGGTTGCTAGGACGAAAACAGATGCGAGCCGGTCGCCGGTGGCTCTCGCCTATAATTCTAGCTTCTCAGAAGGCAGCTCTGAGGATAGCAGTTCGAAGTCAGCCCGGAAAGGGAAATTTATGAGACTCTTATCTCTAATAAACTACCCTCCCCCTAAAAAAAAAAGCCAGAAATTAAGCTATGGCTCAAGTGGTAGAAACTCAGGGGGTTGGAAATGTGGCTTAGTGGTAGAGTGCTTGCCTAGCATGCTTGAAATCCTGGGTTCCATTCCCCAGTTCCTGGGTTCCATTCCTCAGTACCACATAAGCAGAAAAAGCCGGAGGTAGTGATATGGCTCAAGTGGTAAGAGTACTAACCTTGAGCAAAAGAAGCTCAAGGACAGTGCCCAGGCCCTGAGTTCAAGCCCCAGGACTGGCAAAAAAGCTCAGGGACAGTGTCCGTGCCCAGAGTTCAAATGTCATTGACTTTGGAACGTTGGAACCTACCTTTCAGAGCAAGGACCTAAAACACGTGCTAGAGCAAGTGACTGAGGTTCTCCTGGACACTGGGGACACTGGAGTCCTCTACACTAGCAGTAGACCTTTTTATGTGGGTGCTGGTCTTGAGGCTTGAACTGAGGACCAGAGTGCTCAAGGCTAGCACCCTACTACTTGAACCACAGCTGCATTTCCAGCTTTTTGTGGTTAATTGGAGATAGAGTCTCACAGACCTTCCTGTGCAGGCTCTGAACCTTGATCCTCAGATCTCAGTCTAGTGAGTAGCTAGGATTACAGGAGTAAGCCACTCAAGCAGGCTTATACTTACTTTTTTCACATCTTATTTATGTTCAGTAAATGCAAAGATTGTACACGTACAGCTCTGTGGCTTTTGACAAATGATTTCTTAAAATCTGGAAGCATAGCTGGAACCAAGATTGTCAAGTTATGGTTGGGATGGGCAGTGTTTAGTTGCTGGCCAATTGTTCTGGGTGATGACAACTAAGTGGACCCCACGGAGATTGAAGGGGTGGCACTGTGGTGGTTTTGGAGAAGGGGCTTCTGATATGAAGAAAACTGCAGATCTTAGGTTTAAATGTGGGGAACTGTGTTTTCGAATTGCAAGGTTGTCTGCCAATCTCAGAGAAGGTGCTGAAGATGTGATCCCCACCATAGAACTGCTGGTGCCGAAAACAATACAAGAGAACCGCACCTTTGAGGTTCAGCTACACTGTTCCCTCCTGCTTCAGACCTTTGCTTAGGTTTAGGTGGTCTCCTGGGCCTAGAATGTTCCACCAGGTGGGCTATAGGGGTAGTAGACTGCTAAGCTACTGTTTCGCTTCTGTATGCCAAAATGTATAGGAGTGACCCAGCTCTTCAGAATCAGAGTGCAGTGGGCATTCAGCTCAGAGGAAGGTCCAAGTTGCTGTCACTTAATCATTTCAGACCAGAACATAGAAAGGAGGCAGAGAACTGCCCCCCCCCCCTCACTCCCCTGGTTTTGTGCTGGTTCTGGGGTTTGAACTAAGGAGCTGGGCACTATCCTTAAGCTTTTTCTTTTTTTTTTGGGTCCAGTCGTGGGGCCTGAACTCTGGGCCTGGGCGCTGTCCCTCAGCTCTTCAGTTCAAGGCTAGTGCTCTACCACTTGAGCCACAGCGCCACTTCCAGCTTTTTTCTTTTGCTTATGTGGTGCTGAGGAATCGAACCCAGGGCCTCAGGCATGCAAAGCAAGTGCTCTACCACTGAGCTATCTTCCCAGCCCTCCTTAAGCTTTTTCTTGCAATGCTGGCACTATACCACTCCAGCCACACTCTCACTTCCAGTTTTTTGGTGGTTATGAGGTAAGAGTCTCAAGGACTTTTCTGCCTGCCTGGCTTTGAACCTAAATCCTCAGATTTCAGCTTCCCGAGGAGCTAGGATTACAGGTGTGAGCCACCAGGGTCCTCTTTCCTGCCCTGCCCCCACTTTATTGCCAGGATAGAAAACAAAACTCATTAGGCAATGGTTCTGGTTCTGTCCAAAATAATTTATTTACCAGCCTTACAAAAATATGTTGGCGACAGAAAAATAATAGTCCTGTAGGAGCAGGCAAGCTGGTCCAACTTTCTGGGACCCTGCCAGAGTGGGGAGTCAGATGTGGGGTTCCCAGCCCCAGGATGGAGAAGGTCAGAAAATTGGGGGAGGGGTTCTCTTCAACCTTCCCAGCCACAAGGGCTGACCCAGCAGTGGGTACCGACGCACTTGTGGGCAAGGCTGGGGGCTCCACCCCTTGAGAGGCCAGGGAGGTCTCGGGAGGGGCACAGAGGGCTAGTGAAGGAGGAACTGCCTGCTCAGTCAGTCTCGGAGGCAAGGACCCTAGGGCGGGGCTGAGGTGGCAGTGCTGAGCGAGTGGGGTCCCCACTTGCAGCCTCAGGGGCCCCTCTATCTTCTGGGGCCACTCCCAGATCCCCCTGAGCAGTGACATTCAAAGATCCTGGGCCAGAAGAGGCTGAGCCTGGGGAGGTCGGGCTGGGAGAGGCTGGGCTGGGGGACGCTGGGGACTTACGGCTCTGGCGCCGTGCAGGCTGTGGAGGAGCTGGAGGCAGAGGAGGTGGCACTGTGGGGGCCCGGAGGCTGGTGCCCACCAGACGGCGGGGCAAAGCTCGTGGGGTTCCAGGGCTGCCAGAGCCAGGGGGCAGGGGTGGGGTTGGAGGGGAGGAGCGAGTGCTGGAGAGCTGGGGGGGTGGCACCGTGGGCCTGGCGGGCGCCGGACGCTTGGCTGTGGAGGATGGAGAGAAGAGGGAGATCAGGTATCCACAGAGCCTGGGGTGCTCCCAAGCTTGGTCCTGCCGCAGGACCTTTGATTCTGCTGTCCCTGCCATGTTGGCCCTCTCAATATTGAAGTGTCTTTGCAAGAAGAGCTCTACTCTCTCACAGGGTAAAAATAAAACAAACTTTAAGCCGGGTGCCAGTGGCTCATGACCCTGTCATCCTAGCTACGCAGAGGTTGAGATCTGAGGATCTTGGTTCAAAGCCAGCCTGGGCAGGAAAGTCCGTGAGACTCTGATCTCCAATGAACCACCAGAAAACAGGAAGTGGAGCTGTGGTTCAAGTGGTAGAGAGCTCACCTTGAACTGAAGAGCTGAGGGACAGTGCCCAGGCCCAGAGTTCAAGTCCCACCACCAACAGGAAAAAAACCAAAACCAAAACCAAAACCAAAACACTTTAGTTTTTCAAAGGACTTGTCGTGGGATATTATCATGTCTTTTTGTTGTTGTTGTTTTGCCAGTACCTGGGCTTGAACTCAGGGCCTGGGTGCTGTTTTTGAACTTTCTTGCTCAAAGCTAATGCTCTACCACTTTAAGCCACAGCTCAACTTCCAGTTTTCTGATGTGTAATTAGAGATAAGAGTCTCAAGGACTTTCCAGGTTGGCTTTGAACAGCAATCCTCCTATCTCAGCCTCCTGAGTAACTAGGATTACAGGTGTGAGCCACCAGTGCCCTGCATAGTTCTGGCTTTTAAATAATTAACTGGAGATATGTCTCTTGGATTTATCTGCCTGGGCTGGCTTCAAACTGTGATCCTCAGGTCTCAGCCTCCTGAGAAGCTATTACAGGGGTGAGCCACAGGCACCTGCCACCTTGTCATTTTTTTTATTTTTATTTTTTGGTCCGGTCGTGGGGCCTGAACTCTGGGCCTGGGCGCTGTCCCTCAGCTCTTCAGCTCAAGGCTAGTGCTCTACCCCTTGAGCCACAGCGCCACTTCTGGCTTTTTCTGCTTATGTGGTGCTGGGGAATCGAACCCAGGGCCTCAGGCATGCAAGGCAAGCACTCTACCACTGAGCCACCTTCCCAGCCCATACCTCATCATTTTTATCCAACTTGGCCCCAAGACCCTGATGCAGGTGAGACACCTGTGTGGAGCACACGGGTGGCAACATCTACTGAACACATGAATGCACTTGTCCCTGACACCTCCTCTGAGAAGCCCACCAGAGCTTCCCCACCCGAGCTCTCAAAGATCCTGGCTCCCACACCTACATCCCAACTCTGTAACAGCACCCAGGCTGGGCTCCTAGCCCTCTTACCTGCCTATCTCTGGGCCAAGTTGACAGGTGAGTGCAAGAGTGGACTCAGGAGACCCCAGGACTTACCTCCTGCCATCCCCTTCTTTTGTTGCTCTCTGAGGACCCCGGTTTCTGGTTGCTCCCACACTCATGCTGACTTTCCCCAGAGCCCTACACACTCTCTATAGCCAGGCTTGTTTGTCACACAGCCCCCTGTCAGGGAAACTGAGGCCCAGACAGGGCCCACCATCAACCTGCCCAAGGTCAGGGCTGGAACATGAACTGAGGGCCAGGTGACAAAGCCTGGGCTTCTAAGGACCAGCTGGGTCCCTGGTCTCCCTGGTCTGCACAGTTCCCCCCTCTCCCACAGTGACTCACTCCTCCGCGCCGTGTCTTCTGCTGGGGCGTTGGTCTCCGGGGCACCCCTGCTGCCCCTCGGCGAGGCTGGCCTGGGGGGTGCTTCGGGCTCTGGCCTGCTGAAGGAAGGAGAGGGGGAGCAGAGGGGCAGCTGCTGTCTGGACCATCTCTGCAGAAGTCCCCTGGAATCTTGGGGTGACTGCCTGTTGTTAGGTGGAGTTTAAGGCCCCAGCACCTGCTCCCCACCTCCTTGTGGCAGGAGCAAGGGCTCTGTGCTAGGCTGGATTCTGGTGAAAGGCACTTCTGGCATTGGCCTGAACAGTGTCTGGCTCACAGAAGGTGCTCAGTAAAGAGCGATCACAGGAGGCTGACAGCAGTGTCCCGGCTCTACCCCGCTACTCTGAAGCGGGAAGTGGGGCTCTGGTTCCCCTCACCCTTCCTAAGTCCCTGTGGGGCTGGGAGTGGCTGGTCATACCCCAGGACCCTCACCTCTCCTTCCCAGACACTGACGACGGCGCAGCAGCGGCTGGAGCTGGAGCTGGAGCTGGGGCTAGGGAGGCAGCTGGCACAGCAACGCTTGTCAGCTCCCCAGAGTCCGGCTGGTCGCTGACCTTGTCCTGGGGGGCGAGGGCTGAGAAGAGGCCTGACACGTTGAAGTTGATGTCTGGAGACAGAAGGAGCAAGTATCAAGTCCACAGCTCTCATCAGCCTGCAGCCCTGGGGCAGCCTTCCCCTGGAAGAACTGGACCATCAGGACTGGACTTGAGCTCCCCACTCCGACGTGACCCCAACACTGAAGCGGCCAAGATTGCCCCCATTTCACAGATGACAAACTGAGGCCCAGAGTGGAGGAGTCACTTCTGCAGGGCCTCAGGGTGAGTGTGGGCGACCGGGACTGAGGCCGGGCCTAAGAGCTCAGCGTGGGGCGGGGGGAGGCAGTGTGTGTTGAGGTGGGGTGACAGGAAGGCAGCAGCTTCACCTCCTGGGAAGAGGGTGTCCGCGTTCTGTATCAGCGCCTCCACCACACCCACCACCTGGATGGAGGACACCGAGGCGGCATCAAGCTGGGCCTGGTCCCTGGCACACAAGGGAGACAAAGCAAGTCATCGTCTGGCGGCATCTCCAGAACGCTGCAATTCAGTGTGGCCCTGCCCTGAGCAGAATTGATGGCCAGTCTCCCTCTCCTCCCACGGCAAACATCACTAGTCAAACACAGATTCTTCCCACAGTTCTGGGATCCAGTCAGCCATTACCATGCAGCTGCACTTAGCATGGGACCTGCTAATTACTGATGACCCCCTAATGTAGCACAGTACTTCACAGTTTATCAAACATTTTCCATTCATTATCTTTGTGTGTGTGTGTGCATGTGCACACGTGCATGCCACGCCTTAAATCCAGGGCCTGATCCCTGTTCTTTAGCTTCTTCACTCAAGGTCAGCACTCTACCATTTGAGCCACAGCTCCACGTCTAGCTTTTGGCTCGCCAACTGGAGATAAGAGTCTCAGGCTTTTCCTGCCTGGATTGGCTTTTAACCTTAATCCTCTGATCTCAGCCTCCTGAGTAGCTAGGATTACAGGTGTGAGCCACAGGTGCACCCAGCTCCCATTCATTATCTAATTCACCAGACTCCTCAGAGTTATTTATATAACTTCTCCCTAATATGCAGATGAGAAAGTGAACCCCACCCCCACAAGTGCCAACTCTGGAAGGCTGGGGGTAAAGTGAGAACCAGATCCCCAAGCTTCCAGCCTGCCAAGCAACCCCCCAAAGCAACAAAGGCAGCCTGTCACTGCCCTTACTCAGAATGCCTGACTCCAAAGCCCTATGAGCTGTGGGAAGCAGAGTTTCTGGATCCGCTCTAGGGACGGGGAAACCGAGACTCCTAAGGAGCAAAGGATGTAAGCAGCAGGTGGCTGGCTGAGGCCAGCTTCCCCATTTCTTTCTTCCTTACCCTTCTTTCTCAGGTGGCCACAGCAGGTTGGGCCCCAGGACGATGGCGATGTTGCTGGGGGTCATCTTGTTCACCTCCTGCTCCTCGGCCAGCCTGGCCAGGAACTTCATCAGGTACCTGGGTGGGTATCAGGCAGAGTCAGGCTATCCCAGGCCACCAGTGCCTGTGAATGGCTGTAAGGCCTGAGAACTTCCTGTCCTGGGGTTTGTAAAGTGTGGGACAGACCCCACACAGCATGGTTTTATTGGGGCTTGAACTCAGGGCCTTGTGGTTGCTAGACAGGAGCTCTATTGCTGAGCCAAGTCTTTAGTTAGCTGATCTACTCACTGAGTACCCACTCTGTGTCCTGTACAGAGCAAGCCGAGAATTCCCAGCCACCCCCTGGGATGGCCATCACCTGTGTTGGCCAGTGCTGACTCCTGGTGGCCTCCTCAGGGCCATGCTGTGGCCACGTAAGGTTGGGAGCCAGGCAGTGTGTCTTTAAAGGGCCAAAAGATTTGTTTAACTCAATATCTAATATAAAAATATATGAAACCAGGTGCTGGTGGCGCAAATCCTAGCTACTCAGGAGCCTGAGATCTGCAGATCACAGTTTGAAGCCAGCTTAGGCAGGAAAGTCCTTGAGACTCTGACCCACCAAAAAGCCAGATGTGGAGCTGTGGCTCAAGCGTTAGAGCACTAGCCTTGGGTGAAAAAGCTAAGGGACAGCCCCCGGGCTCTGAGTTCAAGCCCCAGGACCAGCACACACGAAGACAGGACCAGGACTTCAGAAATATTTCTTAGGACACCTAGCCAGTCTGGAATGAGAGCCAGGCTCTGTCTTTGGGGACAGCTGGGGGAGTGGACGTGGGCTCACCTGAGATTGTGGAGGTTCTCTGGGGGCAGGCGGCTACACACCTGGCGAAGAGCCTCCAGCCGGGCCCCAGACTCCTTCAGGCTAAGGAGGGAGAAAGACCCCACAGTGAGCAAGCTCCAGGCCAGGCCTTTGCAGCCTCCTCCCACCATACCTCCCCGTTACCTGGCTGCGCCCATCCAATCATCATAGAGGTCAAAGGTCATCAGGGGCTCAGGCAGCTCCCGGAGATAGGACTTGAGGGCACCTGATTATGGGAGGGGGTGTCAGAGGCAGGCACCTAGCTTTCTCCACATGGAAGGAACCTTTAGTCCTGTTCTCACTCACACGTTTAATCAAGGTCTGATAGCTTATTTGGTACAGTCTAGTTATTGACCTCGCATGTGCATTTCAGGGGGTTCATGACACCGGACATCGGGAACCCCTGTGTGTTCAGGTGTCCCCTTGGCGGGGCATCAGGCCTGAAGCTGACCCATCATGGGGTTGTTTCAAGAAGCTGCGTTCCATGCCCGACTCCCCTCCCACCCCCAGTCTCCTCTATGGCTTGGGTACCTGCCACTGCATGGGGGTCGGAGCAGAACTCCTCCAGGCTTTGGGGGTCGCAGGCCATCGTCTGCTTGAGGCGCTTGAGCACCGAAGCCCCAGCAGCCAAGCGGAAAAGACCCTGGGGGGCAGGAGGCATGGGTGAGGGTGAAGCAGGGCGGGCAGGGGAGGAGGCCTGAGGCCTGGGAGCCTGGCTTCCTATAGTCTGGTGGGCAGACTGGACCTCCTGGCTCTCACGGGTCTAGAATTCTGAGCAAGAGGCCAAGCTGGGGAGTCTAGCTGGGGAAGTTGTGGGGAGAGAGGAACCTGGCTAGGCCTGGGAAGGGAAGTGGGGTCCCGGCAGGAGTTAGCAGGAAGCTCACAATCCATTTCTTTTGGGGTGTCTTCTACCTAAGGTTCATCCAGGTATTCACACCCAAGGTGTGAATATGTGCCACCATGTGCCAGATACAGCAGCGTGTGACAGAGAGCTGGCACTGCCGCCTGGCTTCTATGCCACCTCATCAGCAGACTCTGGATTCCTCTTTGCTTCTGTCTTCCTCTTGCAAGATGGGGCCCTGAGAGCTTCCTCTGAGAGTCACTGGGACATTAATGGTCCTCCAGGGGACCCTTAAGTGGATCAACGAATGCAGCAGGGCCGGGCCCCCATGAGCACTGCCACAGGAGGCAGGGTTGGATCTGCAACAGGAGGCAGGCCTCTTCTCCCCTCCCCTCAGGTGGCCTCACCCAGGGAACTGTGGGCAACCAGCCGGGGCAGCATGTAAGAGTGGGGGGACAGCACGAGGCCCCCCCCCAGCACCCTTCCATGCCCCAGAGTCCTCACCTCCTCCTGCATGCCCTCGGACAGCAGCATCAGGACGCAGGCCTCGATGGGAAGGGCGATGTCCCGGCCCAGCTCTTGCAGGTGGGTGCCCAGCGCCACGCCGTACACCCTGGAGAAGGGGGTGGCCGTCACCGAGGGGGAGGGGTCTGCAGGGATGAGACACATCAGAGGCCCAGAGTCCTCCTGCCCCAGGCAGGGAGGCTGGGGCACACGGAGGCACCGCCAAGGGAACTCGGGTGGGACCACCCCTCCCCCCAAATCCCAGGAAATGTCTGGAATCATGCGGTGTACCTCTCCCTCTAACCTCCACTCCCCTCTGCCCTCGGCCAGGCAGACCCTCTCCCTTCTGCCTCCTAGCAGGTTGCCCGGATCTATTCCCCACCTTGATTCCAGAGTCCACACATCCCCCCTGCCCTCCCCGCTGCTCAGAAGGCATCCATGCCTTTCAGCATGAGGTACAGGCTCTTAAGCCCTGAGCAGGACAGGGTCAGGGGTGGGGTCACCAGGTTCCCACCTGCTTGGCTGTGGTTATCCCTCAGCTCGGCCAGGGCCGTGTCCAGCGAGCTCAGTGACCTGCGATGGTAGTCCGCCTGGATCTCCAGGAGCTGTGGGGGCAAAAGGGCCCCCCTGGGGAGGTGAGGAAAGCTGAGCTTCCCCCACCCTCACAGCAGATGCCCACCATCTCTGGGGGGTTCCAGGAGCTCCTCCCTGTGGCATCCACCCCAGGTCCCAGCTGGCTGGAGCTGGGTCTCGGACTCACATGAATGAAGTAGTTGGCATAGGAGTCCTCCTTGGTGGCAAAGTGATACAGGTCAGCCAAGTACTCGTCCTTGGGGACAGAGAGACAAGAGTGTCACCAAGTAAGCTGAGGGTCTACCTGGGAAACTGAGGCTGGGAGGAATGGTAACCTGTGTAGGCCATCCATTTATACCTACAGGGGCCCAGCCAGCTCTTCTCTCTCTGAGAAGATCCTGAGGACTCCTGAGCAGCCTCTGGGCCTCATGACTGGGCCCCACAACCTTAGCACTGTGCCTAATTTAGTGTACAATTATTCTTCCATATATCCTCCATTCGCTCATTCACTCACTTAGCAGAGACCATCTACCCATCTACCTACCCATCTATCCATCCATCCACCCATCTATCCATCCATCCATTCATCCAGTCAGCAAACACCATCCATCCATCCATCCATCCATCCATCCATTCTCTCATTCACCTAGTCATCAAACACCATCTATCCATCCATCCAGTCAGGAAACAACATTCATCCACCTATCCATACATACTTTCTCCCATTCACCCAGTTAGCAAACACCATCTACCCATCCATCCATCCATGTATCCATCCATTCATTCATTCACCCAGTCAGTAAACACCACTTTCATTTATTCACTCAGTAAGCAAACACCATCCATCCATACATTCATCTACTCATTCATCCAGTCAGCAAACACCATCCTTCCATTCACTCATTCACCCAATCAGCAATCACCATCCATCCATCCATTCCTTCCTTCACTCAGCACACACCTAAGAGTCCAGGAAATACATGTGATGTAGCCCATCCCGCTAGCTCCCATGGAGGTGCTGGCCTCGAGGGCCAGCTCTGCTGTTTGCTTGTCACTGGCTTCAGTTTCCTCATCTGTGCAATGGGGACAGTGCCCAGGCCTGCCACCCCTACGTGTCAAGGGACGTCCTGTCCCCTCACCTTGCACTGCTCCACCTTCCTCTTCAGCTCCTCCTCCTCCTCCTTCAGCGTCTCCACCTTGTTGGCAGTGGTGGTGTGGCTATAACTGCCTGGACCAACACCCAGGCCTTGGCTGCTACCAGAGTTCTTGGCTGCTTGGCTGAGCCTGGGGGTGATCCCAAGATGGAGCGGTCACTAGCCACATTGCATATCCAGAGGTGAGTGTCCCCTCTGTGCACCTAACCACAGGACTGGACAATTTACAGATGCAAATCCCTTGGCCTCTGCCCAGCCTGGTCCAGAGAGCTCTAGGTGGCCCTCTGGTGGTAGGCTTGGTGATCACCGCTGCCCAGCTACGGGAGGAGGTGGGGGGAGGCGGGGAGGATAATTCCTGCCATCCATGGATGTTGGAGCACTGTGGGATTCAGGCTTTGGAGTCACCCATAGCACCAGCTGTCATCAGCACATGCACAAGTGCACCCATGGGCACTGCAAGGGCCCTAGTGTGGCAAAGGCCTCACGGCTCTGTGGCTGCCCAGGCCCAGACTCCTACCTGCTCTTGAGGGCACTCCAGTCAGACATCAGCTTCTGCAGGCTCTTCTTGTGCTTCAGGATGGCTGGCAGCTCCTCCTGGAGGCGGGCACGGGGAGGGTTCAGGGGCTAGGAGGGGAGCCCCAGGCTGGGGAAGCTGGACCCAGGGGCAGAGGCAGGGTCACCTCACTCAGCCTGCTGAGTGGCTGCAGGACATCTTTCTCCAGGCTCATCTCAAACTCAGCCAGGATGCGGGCCAGCTGGTTCTGGATGGCGCAGCTCATCTCCAAGGCCTTCCTGTGGACAGACGTGTGGCCAGCGGGCCCAGGCTGGGTGAGGCCTGCACTCCCCACCACTTCCTGCCCTCCCATTTGTACTGGGCCCTGTGCCCTCCCACATGTGGCCACTCTCACCGACCTGGGCCTTGCTCTCAGCCTGGTCATCCTTTTGGTGTGACCACCTTCCCCTCCCGGCCCAAATGGCTTCTTGGCCCCCTTGGGTGAGGGCCAGGCCCGTCCATGCTCACCCCATGCTGGAATCAGGGTCCAGCTCCTTGAAGCTCTCAGCCATCGTGGTGGATAAAGCCATGAGAGGAAGCTTCTTCTACGGGGGGAGGGGGGAGGGGGAGGGGAGGAGGTGAGGACACCTGCCTGCCTCCCTCCCCCCACCCCACCTGCACACCAAGGCCCCCAGGAGAGGGGAGAGAAAACCCAGCAGGCCCACCATAGTCACAGGTGAAAATGAAAAGCAGATGACCACAAGGCTCCCAGGACCTCTTTACCCCTCTCCCAAAAGTAACTTGATCGGGCAGGAAGAAACAACCAAGTCCCACTACAAACTAGGAAACTACTATGTGGATGGGGCAGGGAACTTGCCCAAGGTCCAAGGAGATGGCCTTGCAATGGGAAACTGACTCCTCCTCCTGCCCCAAGGCATAAGAGACTAACTCTGCTTTGCATACCCCGCGCCTCTCTATGCTCTGGCTTTATTGAATGGTGTATCCCTGTGTGTTCATTCGTGCATGCGCGCACATGCGCACGCGCACACATACATGTACCTGTGTGTGCCATAATAGGGCTTAAACTCAGAGCCAGATGTTACCACTCAAAGCTGGCGCTCTACCACATGGGCCACACTTCTGGCTTTTTGCTAGCTTAATGGACATAAGGGTCTCTAGGGTTTATCTGCAGAGACCAGCTTCAAACCTCCATCCTCAGAACTCAGCCTCCTGAGTAGCTAGGACTTACAGGTGTGAGCCACCAGTGCCCAGCTTTTTTATTTTAGGTGCTGATTTTTTTTTGTTTTAAATTAAACCCAGAGCTTCTCCAGGGCCTGTTATATACCAGGCAAGTGCTCAACCTGTGCACTCCCTGTGGGATGGGAAACCAAGGTCAACCCTAGCTTTGGTGGCTGACTAGCTGTGTGACGTTGGATGAGTGAATACATGTAAGCATGTCTCTTCGTGTGTAAGCAGCACCTCCTGCTAGGGCTGTTGCCAGCCTGGGGTGAGAGGCTGCATCTGCACACCTTAGCAACAGACTCGAAGGAACCATCAATAAATATGCCTGCTGACTAATCCCAGTGTCATTCAATCCAGCACAAGAGGCGGCCCTACTACATAGCCTGTTGGGCCCGCTGCTTGTTGGAGAAGTTTGGGTGTAGCCAGAGCCTGGCTTTGGCTCATCGTGCAGAGGGAGGAGGGCTCAAGAAGGGATGGGGAGCCTCAGGAGTGAGGTTTGGTGGCAGAGGCTTCCAGGGATGAAGAGGACCTATGCCAATCTGGCTTTCCCTCCTGCCCAGGCCCCTCCTCCCCGAGACCCCCACTCACCACCCGCTTGTCCATGTCAGCCCCACTCTGGCCCTGCAGGCAGGCCTGCAGCCGTTTGTGGACATTGTGGGCTGCTCGCTTGGCTGGCTCCAGTCGCTGCTCCACCTGGGAGAGAGGAGTGAGGGGGGTGGCCGTGCACCCCCCCACCCATTGCTTTGCTTCTCCCTCCCCCTGGAGCCCCCAGATCTAGTTCCCACCCACCAGCCTCTGCCCAGGCTGAAAGCCTGCATGGGCCTGCCAAGCTAGCGGGCCGGCCGGTCCAGGCATGTACCTGCAGCAGGTCCTCTCCCAGGAACTCAGCTGTCTCTGTCTCCGTGGTGCTGCAAGGGGGAGGGGTACCTCTGCTGAGGCAGCCTGGGCTAGGAACCCCTCTGCCCTGGGACACCTGGACCCCCACGGTGTCCAACACCCCTCCCAGGTGGGGCCCACCCGGGTGTGGCCTGTCTCCTTCATCCCAGACTGAGCACATTCCACTGGCCGGAAGGTTTTCTTCCTCCTCCACCCAGGGCCCGGTCCTGACAGAGGATGGACCTTGACATTGAAGGAGGCCTGGAGAGCCATCCAGGGTCCATCCATTTTAGGGATAGGAGCAAAGTTTCTCTTCTCCCTACCCCTCAAACTGTCAGCCTGCCCCGGAAAGAGGAGGCCTGGGGCTGGCTTCCAGAACGGGAAGTACCCAGAGCTGGGACCGGGGGACTCACTCACACACACACACACACACATACACACACACACACACACACACACACACACGACTCTGGGCTGTAGCTGTGGGCAGGGGTGTAAGTCCTAGTTCCCTGCCGAGAAACACACCAGGAATGTCAGAGCAAGATGGCAGAGCAGCTTGCCTAGGTACCCCCCCCACCCCCCCCCCACCCCCCGCCAGGCATTTGTGCCCCTGGGAAACTAGAATGAATTCTCTGGACACCCCATTGCTGTCCCTGCCCCTGGCCCAAAGAATAGGGAACTCCCAGGCCAGGGGAAGAAGAGCAGCAAAGACAAACCTCAGCCACTCCGGAAACTTCCGGTCTCTTTGCTTACTCGCCCTCCCCCCAGCTCAGGCTGCGGGGCAGATCGGGGAGACCTGGGGTTCTTTCCACCTGAGCCGGGAGAAGCCGGAGACCTGCGGGCTGGAGGAGGCAGGGCGCCCCCTCCTCCACCGGCCGGGACCCTGTCCGTCTCCTCCCCTAAGGTCTGGGGCCCCGGTCAGGGGGCGGCGGGGCTCCCCCTCCTCCGGGGGCACCGGAGGCGGAGGCGGTTACTGCCCCATTGTCCAGAGGGCACAAGTGAGGCCGGCCGGGGGGCACGGTCCACTTGGAGGCTCCCCTCGCGGTCCCCTCAACCTGGGCTGGGGCGCCCCTTTCCCCAAGATCAGCTCTGCCCAGGAGTGACGGGGGGTCGTCTCTCTCGGGGGGGGGGGAGCAAGGAGGAGGGGGGGGAGGGTCCGGCGAGAGGCGGCGCTCGGGGTCCCGCGGGTGACACTCACCGTCCCAAGCTGCCGGTGTGGGCCAGCTGCCGCATGCGGTGCAGCTGCCTCTTCATCATCCTGGGGCCGGGCTGGGGGCCTCGGGGCCACGGTGGGGTGCGGGTGGAGAGCGCGCGGCCCCCCGCCCGCTGCGCTGCTCGGGCCGGCGCGGCTCGGCCTGGCTCCGGCGGGGGCTCGGCGGGGCTCCGCCCCCGGCTCCGCCCCCGGCTCCGCCCCCGGCCCGGCACTCCCCTCGCCAAGTTTGGAGGGTCGCCCTGCCCGGCCCCCTCCCCGGCTTCCGGGCCCCCCGACCCCGGCCGCCCCGTGCGTGCGCGCGCGCGCCTCCCGGCTGCAGGACCGCGGCGCTGCCCCGCGGGCTCCCTCCCACCCCCCACCGCACCCTGGCCCCGCTCCGGAGGCTCCTCCCCCGCACCCCGCGCCCCAACTCCGCCCCGCCGCCGTGGCGGGAAGCAGGTGAGCCCACGCCCTCGCCTCCTCCCCGGGTGTGGGAAGCAACCTTTGCACACGTCTCAAAGGGGCAAGAGGGCTCCCTGCGCGGCACGGACAGGCCCGGGAGGGGGCCCCCCACCCCTGCCCTGGGACATCTGGCCATCGGAACGCAAGCCCTCCCCCTACCCCCATCCCTGCTGGACCACTGGCCTGGAGCTTTGGCCTTGGACAGGTCCTTGGAAGTCTGCACACACTGTCTAGCTCGGTCCCCCAGCATAGAGGTCCCGTCATAAAGGGGCTCAGCAGGGACAATTCCTCCATCCCAGCTCCCTGCTCTTCCTTCTTATAAGGTGAGGGGCGATGAGGGTGCTGCTCTGAACCCCCAGACTCAATAGTGGTTCTCCTTCTGGCCCTCCACTGAAAACCCAAGTCAGACATACAGTGGGTGCTCCATGCCTGCTAGGGAATAGGAGACAGAGAAACTGGCGAACAGTAAGCTCTCCTCTCTGGCTGGTGGCACTCCATCTGCCTACCCACCCCCTCTGGGCCAAGCTCTTTAGAGCGTTGGCGCCATGGGGGTAGGGCAAGGCCATACCCTGCTCCTGGCTTTATTTCATTGCCAGACCGCTCATGCCCAACTTCGCAGTGCCCAGCAGTTGTGGGCACCCAGTGGGAGCTTACTGGAAGCTGGTGGCTCCTCTACTTCCCGAAGGGTGGGTCGACCCCACAAAGCTGAGAGGAGCTCAGAGGGACCCCAGCTGCAGCTGCTGCTGGATGCCCAGCTGGGAGTCTGCTGATAGAACCCTGGCCTCTCCCTTTTCCAACTGAAGGCTGTTGGGCTGCGGTTTGGGGGAAGATATGGCAAGGGATTCTAGCCAGGGCACCTGGTTTGGGTAATACTTTGATGGAGGGAAAAGCCCAGAGTCTGGGTTCCTAAAATATGGAGCTAGGATTGGGAAAGTCTGGGGTTCTGGTCCTGGCCTTCCACTTTCCCCATGAGCCAGGTACCAGGAGTTCATGGTCACTCAGTTTCCCCTTTCTCTGCACAGCCTGTTTGGAGGCTGGAGGTTCCCAAGGAGGGACCACCTTCTGTCACTCAAGAGGTCTCTAGAATCCGGGCACTGCTGTCTGGGTCGGATAGATGCCTGGCACGCAAGGTTTGGCTACCTCTGTCCCTTCCTTATTGAGGCCTAAGGGTTGCTCTGGCCTGGGAAGGGAGTCTCTTCAGTGGGCTGTAGCAGCAGCTTCCATAGAAACAATCACTGTAGATTATTGGGCCACCCGTTCTTGCCCACGCCCTAGTTCTAGGCTCCCCTCCAATCAGATCAGGGGACTTCTGGGTGCCCCCTGGATGGGGCTACAGTTTGTCTGTCTAGGTGATCTGTGTGGTGAAGGCCTTCCCTTGTTACACTGAGATCGCAGAAAGCTGGGACCCCCATCAATTGTGCCTTTCAAGGGATGTCACAATCAGACTCATGGGCTTGAGTTTCCTTTAGCCAAGGTTGGCATTGTGGCATTTTAGAACCGCAGATGCAGAAAGGGAAGTGCAGGGTCCTATCTGGCTCTGCCTGAATCCCCCGGAGCTCAGTAGACAATGGTGACTTGGGTGACCCGTAGGACATCATGGTAGTGGACACTCACCTGGAAGGCCACAGGGACAGGCAGGGTGTAGATGGAGCTCATGGCCCAGCTTGGTCGCCTCTCTCTAGTTCCCTCACCAAGTGACTTCAGGTGCAATAGTTCACACTTCGGCTTCATGCCCTGCTCAGTAAGCTGGATCTCACAGGCCAATGCGAGGACCACATCAGTTTTTATTTTTTTTGGTGCCGGGAGTGGGGCTTGAATGCAGGGCCCTGTGCTCACACTTGACTTTTACACTCAAGGCTAGAGTTCCACCACTTGAGCCACACCCCCACCTCTGACTTTTTGCTGGTTAATTACAGATAAAAAGAGTCTCAGGGACTTTCTCTTCCTGGCTTCAAACTATACTCAGATTTCAGCCTCCTGAGTAGCTAGGGTTACAGGCGTGAGCCACCAGCCCCTGGCAGGATCACACAAGATAATGTGCAAGTTGCTTAGGAAAGTGCTTAGAAGTTTCTTTTTAGCATCATTATGGAGTCTGCCAGAAGTTATGCTAGAAAGACCCCTTACCCTCCCTTCCCATCCCAGCTCCCCTTGAAATGTGTCTGGAGTCTAAGCAGGATGTGGCCAGGGCAGTGGGTGGCTGGTGTGGAGGAAGGGGTGCTAGCAGACATCATCTCAGGTGACACGTTGTGGCCTCTGGGCAGAGGCTACGCACCAGTATACTTTCTTGGGTTCTGGTAACTCCTTTCTACCCCACACCCCCAAGTCAAAAGGTCTTTCCTGGAAGCCTGGGGTGGGGCTGATAGCCCTGCTGCGTGTGTACCCTTGACCCCAGCTCTGGAGGAGGGCAGGCCGGGCCGGGCCAGGCTGAGTTGTGCTGCTGGCTGTGCCAGGGCTGTGGAGATGGGTGGAAGGCAGCGGCAGGTTCCTCTGCCAGCAGAGGCCTCTCTGTAGCTCTTGGCTTCCTTAAACAGATGCAAATAGTGGGCTGTGGTTACTAAAAAGTGAACTATGGGCCCGTCTGAACAAATGGAAGGGCAAGAGTGGCTTTGAGGTCTGGGAAGCCCCACTGCTTGGGTGTGTGTGGTGGAGGACCCTGGAGACGGGAGGAAGGCACCTTCCTGGGCACAGGGCCCTGAGCCTGAGAACTCCTGACCTGTCAGAATGCAGTCCTGGTGACCTCAGGGACCAGAGCCACTGCTCTGCCCTCCCTCTTCAGCCCACTGTTACTGGCGTGCACCACCCCAGCAAGCCCTTGGATGGGGAACAAAAAGCGTCCCAGCGCCTCTCCAGCATAGAGGCTTCTGAAGCCAAGCTCAGATGGGGAAACACTGGCTTGTTTCTGAGAGGCTTCTGAGAGGGGGACACTCCTGGGGCCTCAGGAGCCCCTCCCTGCCGAGCAGGAGCGGCGTGGGACCGGCCTTCCCTTACCCCTCACTGGCCTGGGTCCCAGTCATCCAGGTGCTGTGCCTGGGCCCCCCAAGCCCCGGGCCTGACCCACACAAGCTGCCACTGGAGCCCTGCTTCTTGGAGGAGCGCTGGGCCCAGCCCAGCAGCCCTGCAGCTATGTTTGAGGGCTGAGCGTGGCAGGAGGAAGTCTGAACCAGCAGAGGTCTCCCCCTCAGCCTTTGCAGCAGCTGGGACTCCTGGCGGCCCCCCAACTCCACTGGGATGGTTCTGGTGACTGGGCGGCAGCAGAAGCCACAGGCCCCTAAGCAGGGCCTCTCCTCCTGCAGGGCCTGTGCAGCGGGGATCTGGAGGTGCTGGCAGGCTGGGGATGGCTGGGGGGTGGGGAGGGAGTGCTCAACATGGGGACCACCAGCCATGGGGATACCTAGACCGGAAGGGGAGGCGGAAGCCAGGAGAGCACAGTTCAGGAAAAAGGTTATTTTATTTTCATAAATACTCCTGCTCTCACTCACACACAGACCCCACTTCTGACCAGAGACGGATGGATAGACGTGAGATGCTCAGGGCAGGCCCCCGCAGAGGTGAATGAAGGAAGGAGACGTACAGAACCCGGGAACTCTGCAGCCCTTGCCGGGGCGGGGGGGGGGGGGGGGCATCCAGCTCCCTGTGGCATCACCCTTGGGCTCCCATAGTTCCTTAGGAAGCCTGAAGCAATGGAGCTCCCCCCCCCCCCGGGGAGGGGCCAGGTGGGGCTCCCCCCAGCTCAGTCCCCCCTGAGACTGTGACCACAGGGTTGGTCACTCTGAAAACAAAAAGCCAAACCACACACCAGAGTGCAAAGAGCTGAGGTGCAGGCCCCCAGTCGCTGGGCTCCAGCACCACCTCCAGTTACGGCTGGGCCTTTCCATAAGGCATTAAGAGACAGGTGGGAAGACCCCACCCCAAGCTGGGGTCAAGGGCTGGGCCGATGGCCATGTTTCTTCCCTTTGACCTCAAGTCCTTCTAGGGCGTGCAGCCCCTCCCCCTAGGCTCTCACAGGAGATGGGAGACCCCTGCAGCACAAACCCAGGCCCAGCCTCCGGCTAGGTTTGGCTTGGCAGCGGGGAGGCCAAGGGGGAGAGGAAGAGTCCTTGGGGGCCCTGTGGGAGGGGAGAAGCACCAGGCTGGACTGCAGCCAGTCCCTCTGCCCCGCCTCTCCCCAGCCCCTCTGTTCTAGAGGCTTCCCCAGGTTTCGGGTGGGGGGAACTGGTCCACATCCCCCATCTCGTTGTAGGTCTGGTCGCCCATGGTGAAGATGAGCTTGTAGCGGAGGCGAACCTTCTCCTGGGGCACACGGCGGAGGAGGGGGGGTCAGCGGGGAAGAGGCCCCTCCCGCCCCAGCCCGCCCTCCCGCAGGCAGGTCCCTCACCTTCTGGGGGTTGGCAAGAAGCAGGACCTGGGTGATAGCTGAGGGGTGGACAATGGGGTTGAATGCAGGCAGCTCTGTGCCCGAGGGTGGCTGGAGCTTCACCTTCATGACCTGGGGGCAGGGGGTGCACACAGCTAGTCCCAGCTCCCGCCACCCTGCCTGAGGGTCCGGCTTCCCTCCAGGAATTCTGGGCCTCTGTCCTCCGGCTCCCTTCTGCTCCCCGCCCCCCATCTCCTCCCCCACCCCCACCCTGGCTGGCCCTGTGTCACCTTGGGGACAGCTGACTGGAAAACAATATTGCGGATGGGCTGGGGGGCGGTG